CCTTTCTCATATAATGCAGGAAATCGAGATCCAAGAAAATAAAAGACAATTCCACGAATCTTCCGAGAATTCGTCTGCAACAGTAAAGGAACGTAGGGAATTTGTATCAGTAGGTTCCGGACTGCCTTCTAAAATTATATTATTGGTTGAAAATGAGGCCACTGAAACTGGAAAAACTGGGAAAGGGGAAGAACGACAGGGCGGTGGTGACAGTGGTGTCACGAATAAGAATACAAAAGGTGAAGCTAAAGGGCATAAGGCCGGAGACGGTAAACAACCCAAGGGGAAACCGGAATCTCATAATGAAAGCGGCAAAAGGGAAGAAAGTATGAAGGGAGAAAGAGAGGGGAAAGGAAAGGAGGAAGACGTTGAAGAACAAGAAAAGAACAATGCTCCACGTGGATTTGAATCACAAGCTCTTTTAGTACCATTTTCATCTGGACCTCAACCGCGAACACAAAATTGTAGTGCCATTTTGTTTCAACCGGGGCAACAGCCGCTGCCAGGTTCATCAGCACAACAGCCCTTGGGTGCACAAATGGAGCAACCACAGCTCACCCAACTTTTGGGACAATTACAATCCGTGCCACCCGCAGGAACTATTCAAAATTTGACATCCGAACAAAATATGGTTGCAACCGTCCAACAACAATTCCCGGAAATCGTGCACGAAAGTACAGGTCAAAATCAACAATTCGGCGGTGTTCAAGACCCCAGTCAATTGACGTCTGAAGTACAGGCAAGTCAGGTCGTGCAAACACAAGGTCAATTGACACCCGCGGTGGGTCAACAACAACCATATGTTCCACAAGTCGGGATGCAACCCAATATTTCGTTGATCTCTTCGGTTGCTATCCCTGTAACCGGCGTGGTTCCAATTAGCAACGTTCCTGCTAACGAAATTTCCTCTGGTGAGCGATGTGTGGTTGGGGAGGCTAAAATGGATATCGATTAGTGAGGTTCATTTTGCGTTGGTATCTAACTATTTTGAGATCGTGCATACGAGGTGCTAGGGAACATATAACTATTGAAAGCTTTACTGATGCATAAAATGATTAAAATTTCGTCCATCCGATAGTGTAAAAATTCTTGGGCTAATTTGTTAGACCGTGAGTACATTCCTAGCGGACGTACGAATAAAACTTTACATACAGTAATTATCAATCTTGCAATGAGTTCAAATAAAGAAACGAGAAGTGTGTGTTATTAAGTACTGTAAATTAATTTTTACTGTGTCACCACGGTTAAGCATCATACAATCATCACATGGCATCGGAACTTTTTTGCATCTCGACTTCATCCTGAAAGATGCCAAAGATTGGGAAAACTAACCTCGAACTCGTGTCGCGAAGTTCGTCAGAGACGTCCTCGAAATATTTCAATACAAGATCTCAGGCCGCCAAAGTAAGAACCTCTCGTCTTAACGAGGAAGTCACACCACATTCGCCCACAGAAAACGAGGAGGGCGCGAGTGTCACGATACAGACGTCGACCGAGACGGTCACCAAAAATTTGTCGTCAAAGAAAATCATCAGGACGAATGCTTCTGTCATTCACAAACCTCCCTCTAGCTGGGAAGATGTGTATCAAAGTATTAGGGAGTATCGAAAAACTTTAATCGCACCTGTGGACGTGATGGGTTGCGAAAGGCTGGCAGAGGAGCCTAGCGAACAGATCACGCCACAGGTAATTTTTTCAAAAAATAAATCATGAACCCTGGAGATCACCTGCAATGATTTTGATCTCATTCACGACGCAATTCCTTCAGACATCTAGATTCCAGTCATTGATAGCGCTGATGCTCTCTTCGCAAACCAAAGATCAAGTTACCGCCGCAGCAATCCATGATCTTCGTCAAAAACTGCCGGGCGGGTTAACCCTAAAAAGCGTATTGCAGGTCGACGAGGATTTTTTGGATCAGTGCATTTCAAAGGTTGGATTTCATCGTAAAAAGGCGAAGTGAGTGTAGACTTACTTCATGATTGCCACCCGACACGAACGAAAAAAAAAAAAAAAAAAAAAATCACGATCATGATATCCATTTATTAACATTTATTCGCAAAATTTCAGGTACATTAAACAGGTAGCGGAGATTTGTAAAAACAAATACGGCGAGGACATCCCCAACACAGTGGAAGAGTTGATGAAATTACCCGGTGTCGGTCCTAAAATGGTTGGCATCGGCAATCTGTGTTGCGTTAAAATCAACATTTGTGTTTAATCCAAAATCAATTGTTCGCAGGCTTACTTGTGCATGAATTCGGCGTGGAAACAGTGAGTAGACTTAATGTCAAATGTTTTTTTACCCGACTTTTTTTTTTTTACTCGCGTTTTGATAATAGGAATGAAGGTATCGGGGTGGACGTTCATGTGCATAGAATCACCAATCGACTCGGATGGTGTAAAACAGAAAAATCTGGTCCCGAGGGCACGCGACAGGTCGGGTTCAGATGCAACTTTAGAAACCACAGTTTCATTGATCGAACACCCACGCATACTAAATACTGTATATTTATTATTTATTTAAAGGCTTTGGAGTCGTGGCTGCCGCACAATCTCTGGCAAGAAATAAATCCGATGCTTGTCGGATTTGGGCAGACCACTTGTTTGCCTCGAATGCCCAAATGTCCTGAATGCCCGGTGAGAGACAAGTGTCCTTCTAGAAACAAGAAATTGTGACAACAGAACATTAACGAAAAGTACCTTGCGCATATCAATAATCTTTTAATAATGGGAACGTATGTTGGAATCTTTAATTTTGAGTTTCACGTAAATTGGGGGTTTTTTGTTTTTCTTTTCGAGATAATTTTGATTTTGCGAATTCCATGAAGATTACAGTTTTGAGCAATAAAACTTTTAAACATCCACCAAGAATGTATCATGAAATACAGTAGATATTCGATGTGGACAACCCAGGATGATTAATTGTGAACGCGTCGACATCAATCAATCTTGTGAAACCGCTTGTTCAAATCGCCTGACATTAAGCCTACGAACTAGCTCTCGAATCCTTGTTTCATCCGGCGGGACAAATCAACATTCAAAGTCGAAAACAATGATATATCAATTACCAATTCAATTGATTATTTATTTATTATTATTTTTTTTTAAAAAAAAAAAAAGAAGCAAGTTCAATCCAATCATAAGTCATTATTCTTATGGACATGGCGAAATCTCGATCGCCGGAGTCGTTATGCGATAGCTTTAAAATTATTGTTACTTGGATTTGACAATGAAATCCATTTCGACTCAGTTTTCGTGCACCGGCGGTGTCTTTATTACACCCCCAAGAGGTAACAATTATTAAGAATTCTTTGGAACGTCGTGTCGATTCGTTCTTATTCGCACGTTCGTTACCCAAAGATTCTTAATTGGTGAAATCTCCGAAATCATTAAAAATAAAAAAACCTTTGTGCGCTCGTCTCATCATCCCTTCATCATATTGAGATACCACGTGCTTCTATTGTGCAAAAAAAAAAAAACCTAAACCATTATTGTATTCATTCTACATTTTGAGTCTTATTTTTTGAACAAGGACCCAAAATACTTGGTGTCTGTGGTGCTCGGGGAACACTATTATCTCACCAAAGATCACATATAATACTATCGGACAAGGAAGAAGAGTTATTCGGTGTGACCAATGGCCATTTCTTTATTCTCATCCACTATATTTCGTCATCGTACGATTAGACTTCTTTTGTGGTTACTACTAATCCATTGGTTCGTCCATTGTCATATTTCCAAATAATTTTTCCGGAGTGGATGGCATCTGTGGTAATTTGATCGCGATATACTGTATTAAAAAAAAAGGGGGGGGGAAGACAAAGAGAGGTAAGAGCAAAGGTTTCGGAAAAGTGATTCTTCAAATGTGATTAGATCCGAATCCTGCAACCTAGTTTTTTTTTAACCCGATTTGGTAAGTGCGATGGCCATTATTAAATTAAAAGTTTATTTGACGTTTATATATGGAAAAAAATCGGGAATCTGTACATAACAAATAAGCAATATTAATTTGCCTGCGTAAACATTAGGGGACAAAAAGAATGACGCTATTTGTGAAAAACCAAAAAAAAAAAAAAAAAAAAAAAAAATTTTTTTTTTCTTTTTTTTTAACCTAGTATGAAAGACAGCCCTTATTGAATATACCATGTTGGTATCCAAACTCTATCTGTTTGCCCACTACGAAAGACAACGTGAAGTGTTTATGCAACTTCTTTGTTTAAGTGAGCACGTTGTTTGTTGGTTAACACGCGCACGCACGTTTTACCGATGCACATACACCTAAAATCCGTGGAATCGAAGAGGTCGTTTGAGAGAACACTATACACACACTATACACACACACGCACACACACACACACGCACACACACACGCACGCACACACACACACACGGTACGCACGCACGTACGCACATATCTTTTTTCCACGATCGATGAATGTCATCTAATTGGGTACCACAATTTCCTTGTCGGTGCTCCTAACGAATTTGTTATCAGAATTTCCAAAATTGGGAACCATGTAGGCTGTTAATAAAATATGGAAGACAAGATTGGCGACAGTCCATAGATGTCCATTGTTTATGACCAAACTGAATTTCTAACGTATACAAGTGTTAACACACGTTATGACGCATATGTACAGTATATTTAAATTTTCTTATTACATACAGAATTCCTGATCTTCAATGATGATTAATGCCAGTCAATTATCCTCCAGTCGCATTTTTTTTTTTTTTCGACTCTTTGTTTGTGGTCTTGGTTGTGATAGAATTATTCCTAGTATTGCATATGAAAAGCTACCCTCAAACCTAGTCCACAAAAATGTTGGGTGACGAAAGAATGTGTAGCAACATTTCTTTGTTTCCGGGAACTAGAAACATATGCTATTCTATTTTCTCTTGTGATACCTCCTAAGCGACCTCCATCCAATCCTTTGTTCCCGAAATTTCTTTGATGTCAGCTTTAGTGTTTGCAACGTTTTTTTCTATATATACCGGGGAATGTCGAACCACTACCTCCAAGAAAAATTTCAAGACAAAATTCTCTCAATAGCATCCTCCCGCATTTTAAAATATCACCTTCTTGTTATCCACTTGCAAATAGCTAGCAGCTCATCTTGTAAATTTCAAAAATCCTGAATCAAGTCAACTGTGACCCCAAAAAATTTCTCCCGAAAGGAAAATAAGATAAGAATGGCACGATTCCTCGTAGACGATGTTCTCCGCGAAATCTTCCTGCACGTCGCCAGTCCCAATCCGTTCACCAGCGCCTACACGATCGATGGACTCCACGATCTATATCCATGTCTTTTCGTCAACCGAGCTTGGTGCGCTATCGCCATGCCAATCCTCTGGTCTCAACCCTTTCATTTTCTCAAGGACAAGCCCGAGGCTGGCGCCGCGGTGATCAACATGTACCTGAGATTCTTGGACGACAAAGAGGCGGAACATCTGCTGAGTCAAGGAATTGATGTTTCTTTGATGTCAAACTTTAGCATGCATGGCACCCGATTTCAACAATCTTACTCGGACGATTCGGATTCGGACTATGAGGGCGATCACCCTACCTACTCGATGGACGTCTGCGAATACCGAAGACCCCCGATGTTTAATTATCCCGGATTCCTACGTTCCCTGTGGTACGAATCGATGGTGCAGGCCGTGGAATCTTGGTGTTCAGAATTATCCGAGATCATGAATCCGTCACCACCCGAAGACGAAGACGTGGACATGATGGAGGAACCGGAGGACACTTTGATTGACAACGCCGAGGTTTTCTTGATGCGATCGATACTAAGAACTTGTCTGAGCCGAGGATCGAGGTTGTACGGACTATTCCTGAACCCCGACCGGTTGGATAAATTGAACGACGAGATGTACGAGATGTTATTGGTCGACGATGAATTTAGGGATTTGGTGTCTCCGGTCAAATCGTTGGAGATCAATGGAATGATCAGGAAAGACAAGGTTTACGTGATGTTGGGACAGAGGTGTCACAAACTGGTAAGTTCATCATTGCCGCATTCCACATTCGCATGTGAGCGCAATCGTGCCACGCCGAGTCTAACCTTGATAAATTTTATGGAATCTTTCAGGAATCCTTACACATACACAGCCTCTGGGCGCGCCACCCCGAAGAAAGACACATCGATAATTTTGGCGATGCCATCGCCTCCCTGATCTCCTCCCAATATTCATTACTCTACTTCACACTTTCAAACTGTAAGGCCTACACCCGGGCCATCCTCATCCCCCTGAAATATCAATCCTCATCATTACGCTACGTGCGATTCGAACAAGTGGATTTCCTAGGATGCGGGCCGTGGGACAGTGTTGCCGGGTGCAAACGAATAGAATTCTTGGAGGTTTACGAGTGCACCAACCTGGAACAAGAGATGGTCGCACCGGTTATCAAGGCGAAGTTTGGCAAAGATTTTGAAGCTAGGTACGTGAGTTCTTATCAGTGCCAGGAATTTAGAGATTGGGTGGACAAAATTAGTGGCGGGGTGAGGAACGATGATGGTGTTCCCGTGGGGGGCCTCACAAGCGCGTTCGGCGAGAGGATCGGTATAAGTGATGGGGGTTTTGGAATCGGCAGGAATGGAACTTGGAATTTGTTGAACGTGTAAAAAAGGCACCTTTTATTAAAAAAAAAAAAAAACCATATATACATATATATACAGTACATATATAATATAATATCTACATATATACATATTATACATACACACATACACACTATATATACATATCAACACCGAAGAAGTAGGAAACTAAGAATTACTAAGCTAAAATTTTTATGAACAATCTTCTTTCTTAATACTACTAAGAACAATTTCATCCCGAAAAAAAAAAATCATCACTTATGGATAGCAGTAAGTTTGTACAAACTGAAAAAAAAACAAACCAAAAAAACTATGTATCTACTTCAGATAAGAATAGATTATAATAAAGATTTCTTATTTTATTTCTCTTTTTTTTTCTTTCCTCTAAACCAACATTAGCGGTAAAAGATGCCCACCGAGTTCCCTTTCTCACCTTGCTCCGGCATTGTACATCCTGCC